CTTCGACCGCTGCCCAATCCTCTCTGCACCGCTTTGCCATCACGGACCCCTCTGCGGGTGGTGGGCCCACAGGAGGGACTGCCCACGTCGTCCATTCAGGCTGAACCCGGCCGGGCCCCGTGGGCTAAGGCCCGGCCACCAGGCGCTTGCATACGAGCCCCGACCCCAGGCCTGGCTCCAGGGTGGGGCCCCGGCTGCGCCATGCCGGGCGACGTCACAGATTTCATGTTTGTGCTGTCCATGGTGTCTTCTGGACTGCTCTTTGTCTGACTCGTCACCTGAGACCTGTCTGCCATGGGAGGCCCTACCAGGGGCATGAAGCCCCAGACAGCATAGCTCCCAGGATCATCCGAGTACTCAAACTCCCCCACCACGTTAAGGTGGCAGTCCATGTTACCAGAACATTTATGTAAAAAAATCAGTTGCACTGTAAAGCAAAATACAGAAAAAAAAAATATAGAAATATATAGCATTTGAAATCACAGCTAAATAAACATACTTAATTATAATAAGTACGTTTTTTTCAGTACGTTTTATATCTATCAAATATATATTCTGCATGAGACACCGCTTGCGGCTTTAATTTGTATTTGATATTGTGGATTAAGTCTTGGGTTCCTGGGGGCTTTAAAGCTTGAATGTGGTTTTAAGAGCCTCATGAGTCCCACAGTGTTGCCATTAAGACAATCAGACACAGACTCATTTGTAAATAATGTGAAAGCACATACGTTTTCAATTCAAAAGAGACATTATCAAGTCTCATCACAATATATGATTTTCTCTCAAGTTCTCTCTATCTTTAAAAGTAAACTGATAAAAATGGTAAAATTCAAAATAGTTGAATAACACTTTAATCATTTTAACTACATGATTTTGATGTGAGTCATAATCATAATCACATATTTTTTATGTAATTTCACAGAATACAATATTTGTATTGTGATTTTAACACTAAATTATTGTTTTCATACTATAATTAATATAATGCAGCAATTTCTTCAATATTTTTATGTTAATTTTACAGTCTTTTTTTCAGTGTACCTTCTTAAATCTGACAAGATCAGGCGTTCACATGCAGGTGGTGCCCTGAATCATATATTTAAACTTAATGAGGTACTGTAAAACAACTAGGCTTCCGTGAATAATTAAATGTGAATCAAATTAAACTAAACCAAGCGCAAGAATGTAGAACATAAATATAGAAAATGTGTTGTAACCACAAGAACAATAAGGAGAAATGATGATACCATAAATAATAAATGATAACGTGTTTTCGGTGAATATAGAGACAAAAACACAGCAAAGGTAGACAACAATTTGTACATCCCCATTGAGGATATGCAGTTTGTTATTTGAGGAACTTGGCAACGACTTTGATTATAGATGTTTTTGAAATGTAGCAGACATTGCCAAAAATACATTTTCATAATCACATGAAGCATCTGTACTTTCTGCCTGAACGTCAGACTGACTTTCAGTGGGAGAAACCCAGGAATTACGTAATAAATGTATTTGAATGCATTCTTTCGGAGTGAGAATCCATTTTGTACACGGGCCTTGCCAAATGAAAAGAGCTTTGGCACTGCTGTCTCCTTTCTGACATGAGGTGTGCTGTTACACCATACTATTGCAGTTCTTCAAACTCACGGTGGGATTGACCTTGCTTGAGACAGCTGCCAGTGGCATTTTAGACTGAGCCATGGAGCCACTCGACCTATTGATTAAACACGTATTTGTACAAATGCAGCAATGGCCAACTTTGCACCAAGGACACTGTGAGCCGATCATACAGGTATTTTATTTTCATTGAATCGTTGCATGAAATGTGTGAAGTATTATTTGGCCAATTACATTTCAAATGAAGGGATTGAATACAGGAAGGACAAACAACAAAAGAGTACTGTGACATCTTTCATAAAACCATCAATAACTTCAACCATGTTTAGACGGACAAAGTTAGAAGGACAAACAGGTAAAATACAGTATTATGTTTAAGTAAATATGCATGTTTCAAATCCAACTTTTTTCTGAAGTATAGATCTACCACAAAAAACAACTTGACACAGGTTACAGGTAAATGTACTCTAGAATAATGAAACTGTCATCAGATGAGACCACATCTGCAGTAAATTCTATTCACTATTATCAGGTTTTGAGTGTTGGTGTATCACCCACATTATTATCACACATGTGCATACGTGTCCAAACTCTCACATCAAACCTGAACCTCAATCAGTTGTCTCGCTGTAATTATGTCATCAGCCTGTCCAGGGACTACGGGTGGAATCAAGCAATTTTTCTAAAACCTGGCGTGACGTATTGACGCATTTTCTTTTATAAGACTACAGTAATGTTACTTTGCGTTGTCCTTGATCAAATAAATAACATTTAAAATGCAAATGTGTCTCGATGTAGATAATTACAGCTGTTAACAGATTGCCTCAGCACTATGTTCCGAGTGTATTGGTCAACAGCATCACGAAGTCCAAGGACCATATCATAGAGGTCAGGGATAAAGGTAAAGCAGAATCAAATTGTACAAGATTTACAAGCTTTGAATACCTCACACAGCACTATTCAATCCAATTATTCTGGAAATGAAAGAGAATGGCAGGCGTGCTTTCTTAAATGCTAATGAGTGCTGCCCAAAATGTCTCTTGGTGTGAATAAAACCTTTTTTTTGGAAGCGAAAACTGCTATTGTGCAGTGCATGTAACTTTTGACCTACCACACAGACACCACCACTGCAAACTTACCAAGACACAGCTGTCCACCTCGACCTTCAACCCGGACCAGGAGAGCACTGATCAGATGAGTGCAAGAAGAAAGTAATTGATGTAAAGAAAGAAGCTGGAATAAATAATGATTTCCTCCTAATATTTTTTGTAAGTAAATATAAGTCTACATAAACTCAACTGTAATTTTGGTTATAATTTCAATCGTGGCATTGACCATACACAACATAAGACAATTACGTTTCAAATAATTGTAGTCCCGTTGCACAAAAGAAGCAGAAAGATTACTTATATTGCCTGACCTTTTCTTAATCATGTCCAAAACACAGCAATTTTACAGATGGACTCCAACACTCATAACAATTGCTTTGATTGTTTTCTTTTTATTGTTTTTCTTTTATGTATTCTCTCAATAATGGCAATTATTCACTTCATACACTTTCATTGTTGTTGCTTTGATTTTCTTCTGAAAAATGTTGATGTTTGCAGGTTTTTTATACAATATTCTAGTGGATTCCACAGTAACTCCAGTCAGTAATAGAGGAGAGACAAGTGTAGCTTCTTTCTGCTGTCCTGGTTAGATTTCATGAAAAATTCTCACTGTTTTTTGTAAGATAATTAAAGTATAAATTGTGTTTTTGTATGTGTTTCCCCACATTTCCAAACAGTAAGAGGAGGGTACTGTACCGCAGACTTAGGAAATTAAAAATGAGCATGAGTATTTAACTTAATGCAGTACAAACATTGTGTTGAGGGGCAGCTGAAAAAATCTTTCCTGGTAGCTATGGTCTCTGTCAAAAGTCAGCATTTTAACTATATTTCTCTGTTCAACATTAACATCATTAACCTGAAGAAGACCTGGGAAAAGGCTTCTGCTGGCCACCAGAGCCATTGTTGCCATTGAGAACGCTTTCTTTCTCATAAAGGTAGTCAAGAAGTGGTGACATATTAAAATGTGGATGTATCCATGCATGTAGGTTAGTAGAAAAGACAGACATAAGAAGAAAAAAAGTCTAAAAAGTCTTTAAAAAGGCCTCTCTCCCATAGAGTTATATTCGCACCTGCCTTTCAACTGAAAAAAAAAACTTTAGAACATAAATGCTTCGTCACACTAATATCATTTATTGTTCAAAGGTGAAGATATCCCAGTTAACAAGACTTCCAATAGGGCGTTGCCATGGCAGCAATTACCCTGCTTGGGCACACACAGATGCTACTTGCTTTATAGATAGATAGATAGATTAGAACAAATAATTTTTTGATCAAATGTTTAAAATGGATTTACCATGTTAGGTGGCATTATTGTGTTTATTTTGAAACCATTGCACAACAATTCCATCAGCACTTCTTCCACACTACAGAAGATAGATAGTGTGAAATGTTATTACAAAAATAGGTCCAAACTATCTATATTCAGCACCTTGTCATCTTGTTTCGCAACTGTCATTAGTTATTGTGTTTAACAGTGGCTGCCAGGGCCGTTTCGCTTATGACAAACTATAGCGGTTTATAGGGATGTTTGCAAGTTGTTTGTCATGCAGCTGTCACACGATGTGTTTCCCATTTTTCCGTTCAAACTCCATCACTGCTGCGCCTTCCAATTCCATCATAAATCACCGGATTATTGAAGAAACATGTTAAACTTGCAAGTGATAAAGGCGTGTGAGGATAATTAATTACACTGATATGGGTTATCTGAGCAAGCTGTTTGTGAGACTTTCGACAAACAGGGCTCTGAACCGTAATTACTGGCTGGGGTTTTAAATTCACATCAACTGCTGTTTTGTAACGTTTGGGAAACTTGGCTGTTGATACAATTTAAGGCTGCATATGGCCCCGGTATTGGGTTGATATAGGGTCATTTGAACTGCTGCATGCGTGGAACCATATGGGAAAACATGGGATGACTTAAGCGTTTACTGTCACAATAATATGAATTACAATGTCATAAAATATATAAATACACCGCGTTTTTGGCAAAGTATGAAGTGTCTTTTAGGTGTAATAGTTCAGGTAGATTTGTGATACATCACTGGGCTAATTTAGATGACATCAAACCATGACAAAATGAACGAGGGGCCAAATGAAAGGAGTTATGTATATTTAAGAACAAAATAAACTTGATCTTGTAACCCAGAACACCCTCAGTTTATCAGGCATCACACGCAGAGAGAGATTGTGCCATTTGAATGTCCACAATAGAATAAACAAAATTAAAACAATGGACAATACGTATAAAAAAAATAAAAAATAAAAGATGCATACCTTTTTCTTTGATGCCTCTGACTTTTTGGACATGTTTCTCAGCTTTTTGTGTAGGTGATTTAAAACCTGAAAGGGACAAAACATAATAAGTAAAACAATCATTTTAAAAATCCAGAAAGTTGTGGATGAAATAAACTTGTTCCTACCTTGGCATAACAGAAGGAGATGAGGAGCAGAGGTAACACATAACCAAACACAAATGTGCACACAACATAAATCTTCTTTTGGTTTTGGTCCGGCCACACTTCCCAGCAGTACGTGTGGTTCTCCCCTCTCTGGAATATGTTCTGGTAATACATGATAGGTGCTGCCATGGCCAACGACAGTATCCAAATCACCACCACTCCGATAAAAGCATGTTTGGCCACACGGATGGATGAGGACTTTCTGGAGTGCACGATTGCAATGTAGCGGTCCACGGACATGGCAGAGAGCGTAAAAATGCTCACAAGCATTGACACGGTGAAGAAATAGTGTATAAATTTACATATGAACGCACCGAGGACCCACGTTGACATCATGTAAATAGTTGATTGAAAGGGGATGCAGAAGAGCAGGTAGGAGAGGTCGGCTATGCTCAGGTTGAGGATGAAAATGTTCGTAGTACTCCGTGGTTTTCCAGGTTTGCTTTTGGCCAGAACTGTGATGACCATAGAGTTCCCCAGCACTCCGAGTGTGAAGATAAGTCCAAACACGATGAGCGTGATGAAATTATCCGCGCCAATGCCAAATAAAAGTTTATGGGCATCTTTCTCTCCTGTGCTTATGTTCCAAGGCTCCTCGTAGAGCCAGACATCATCCGAGAAGTTCATATTTAAGTTTGTCATCTTAAAAAGATGCAAGAAATGTTACGCATAGCACAGTTTAAAGTCGTGGTTGCGTGCCCTTTCCATTTACGCACGTTGTTGATGCACCCATCTCACCATGTCGTACTATTTCAAATGCCCATGTGCAAAGCCAGGACTTCGGTGAAACCTCTGCAGCCTGTGCGTCTCAGTGCGCACCTGATGCGCGGCCGCGCTTTGACTGAGTCAGTCAGACTGACGCGCAGGTCCAATCACCCGTTCTCTGCACTCGATAAATATGGCGGGGGTTGGACCAAAAGCGGGACGTCAGTGCCATGGCACCACCTCCATATCTGAATATTAAACATGTACCTGCATTGTTTCTAGAGGTCTTTCCGTTATCCTCAAGTCAGGCTTATATTTGTCACTTGATATGGATTTGAATTAAATTTAAACAAAGAAGAGTAGACCAGGGAAACTGTATTTGGCAAAATATACATTTTCTATTATAGAAATTTGGCTCACACTAGAAGTAATCATTTTCCAGATCAGAATCGTGAAAGCAAATGTCTTTGTTTGCTGGGCCATGAGATTACATTCGTTGAATGATTTTGGCTGCCATTAATAGAAGCATGAGCAGAATAAGCCACAGTTACTTTTAGGTATGGAAACAATATTTGTTCAATTTATTTAATCAACATTTCAGCCCATTTAAGCCCAGAGAATACCCCACAGGCACAGCTTCGAAACATGGTCCCACAGGTCGCTTCATTTCTCTATAGAAACCGGAGCACAGGGTTTGCAGTGTGACTGCATGGTTTCTCTCTGGCCCCACATGATCCCTCTGGTCATGACCCACACAAGCAAGAACAGGAATCCAAAATATAATAGAATAGAGGTTTTCTTTATGAAAGAAAAACCCGGGACACATCTTTTAAAGCCATATAGTCATCTATTTCTTTCTTCTATGCGTGACCAGATTTGGCCTACTGGTTTTCAATGATTGGCCGATACAAATGTCCATCTACAAGATGTATATAGTAAAACATGAGAGAGAACATACACAAATGAATGTCATTTCACATTAAATGTTTTATTTGAGCATGTTTACAACAGAACAAAGATAATATACAATAATACAGCTATAGAGAGCTCAAAAAGAGTAGGCAGAATGAGTACATGAGGCCTACCCACTTCCACAACTTTATATAACAATATCATATCAGCTTTGTAATTAAGTGCAAGGAGTTTGATGTGGAAATACAATACCCAGGCCCATGCAATGGTCCATGTGCCAATGTGAGTATGTAAATGTAAACCCCATAGCCAAGCCGAATAAAGGTATCCTGGGGCCAAAATATGAACCCAGGGTCACTCTTCCTCAGACATAGATTTCCCATCAGACTAAAGTCACTCATGTTGAATACTTGGGTGAAGTGGTCGATGAAAATTTAATGCATGAACTGTTGGCCTTTTGTTCACTTGAAATAACTTTGGTATGCAGCTGCTTAGTTTGAAGAGCAACATGTGAACTTAGTATTCACAAAGAACTTTCGCAGGGGGCATTTTTTGTATATGAGCTACACACTATACATTATAACAAAATCCTAGGAGGAGGTGATACAGTCACAAAAAAAGTTGAGGTTAGCAAACGAAAGATGCAAACGGAATCCTTTTTTACGCTTCAAAAGCCAAATACATTATCATCTTTTAAAAGTCAATGGACAGCTCCTTCCATCGTCTTTTGGTTACACCACAGTGGGTTGCATTTTCCCAGCTAAAAGTCTTATGCTTCAACATCTGAACATCTTTCCCATTTTCAAGCCAATTCCCTGTTGTCTTTGCCATCAATCACTACGGCCAGTTGTGTTGAAAAATGAAAAGCAAATAAATAATAACATTCAGAGAGTCTAATCTTTCTGGCATGAAGCTGAAGAGCAAATCCACTACTAAGCCTGTTTGTTTGTAGTACGATGACTGAAGGGGCAGATCATTCAAAGGTCAGATGCCCAGAAAAACCAAGTACAAAACAAATTGATGAAAGGTCAAGCCATATAACCAAAGCCTAAACCAAACCAAATATAAAACCATCCTTGGACGCTGTTCATTGTCATTTTCATAATTAAAGTCACAAGAGCAAAATCATTACGCTCTGTAAATGTTCTGCATCGAGATCAAACCAATACAAATATATGACATTGTTGTTTAAAAATAAGATTGTGTTTATACATGGAATTTGTGTTTGAAATGGTCCACTAGATGGGGCTATTTTTATTAGTGGAGCTAAGAACTCCCACTATCTCTAAGGTCTCAGGTCTTGTTTGTGGAGGGCTTGTTTGAGAGCACATAGCGCTATGTGTTTCAAGGTAAATATTTTTAGGGGCAACAAGCTGCAAAAAGAATATGAATCATGTTGTATCGAAAAAAAACTTTGTTTGATGAATCAACTCATCCAAATTAATACGTGAATTGGCAATATTTAAGTATTATTATTGTTATCATTATTATTATTTCAATTGAAAACATGCTCCAACTCTTATACGCCAAGGGTTTATCTGAAATTCTAAACAATACAGTAACTGTCAACATGGGCAATGCTTGAGCCCAGAGAAAAGTTATGTCGGTCGACCTCATATTTTTGTGCCATGGGCAACAATGAGCGAGATCACAGAGATTGCTGCTTTTTCCCTCTTGATTAAAGTCAACAAGGGAAACAAGGCAGCTTCAATATTCACTCTTCTACGGGAAGGTCATTAGATAATGTGTCCATGAAGAGGAGGAACTTTTCTGCTTCAGAAACATTCAGCTTCATGGAAGCTTTAATCAAATGCTTGCTCAGTCTATGACCTACAATTAAATGGAATATTAATGAAGATATGAACCAGTGTTTCATCTATCTTTGGACGGTTGATTTTGTGCTATATTAAGTGATCATGGCCAGTTCAGATAAATTCATTCAATTAAAAGATTAAAAGACACAAGTTAGTTAGTTCCATTGATCCTGCTTTGTCCTTCAGCAGCCTTCTGGGATTGTTTTGTTAAACTAATAAAGTTAAACCAAGCATTTTCCCCTGAGAAACCTGTACACGTGGTGAAATAATGTGATTTATTATCTGTACATCAGCCTTGTGTAACCACTGGTGCACTACTTACCTCATGTATACAACCAAACCAAATTTAATTATCAAATAAATAACATTAATGTATTTCTGAAGACATAGCTGGAGTATATTCATCAATATCCTCAAGAAATATATTGATGCAGGCCCTGATGAGTTGTGTGTGTCCTGGCTCTATCCTGAAATCCAGTTATGTCAGACAGAGACAGAAAATTCAATTCCTATAGACAAGAAGACCCTCAGGACAAGTACTGGACATGGAGCCATCATTTGTCTGGATTGAAGTATTGTTCAAACATCCTGGTAATAGATTTGGTCTACATCTGTTCTGGACGTTTTCGTTAAAGATGAGTGGAAATCAATCTCTCTACTGTATTCATGAGAACTTTCAATCGAGCTAATAGCATTCACCTCAAACAAACAGGGCCAAAGGCACTGGGGTTTGTTTTTTCAAGCTGTAATATATAAATCAGCCAGATATTTCCATCTGAACTCTTTCACCTGGAGTTCAGCAGCTGTCTTCATGAAGGAATGAGTCACCTGTGTAGAAACAATTGCATCTTCATACAAACTCTAATGAATTCATTTTCACATCAAGTAAAAGTGATCCCCTCATAATATTCAGCTGGTAAACAACTCGCCTGGACTGACTTTGAATAATGGATGACACAATTTAAACTGCATTACCTTTCATCCAATTCTGGAATAATGAAAATAAGCACATACAGTATCTCAGTTTAAATTAATCAGGCCCCTGTGCCAGTGACCTAATTAATATGATAGACCCTCTGTATTTATAATGATTATCATCATTATTATTAATCCAGGGTCTCCTCTGTGCATTCTGATCACCACAAGAGCCATTAAACCTCTGCAGTCACAAATGGCAGAAGCAGGATACATTATCATGGCAATTTGATTTATCCACTTCCTTGCCATGTTGCAGACACAAATTGTACCATCTTAAACTGGGATTTCTGAGGCCAATAAAACCAATGACTGGGGCTGGGTAATATAAACTACCAGAATCACAAGTTTTACATTTTAGAATACTACACAATGTGGGTTACCTAACATTATAACAGAGCCTTTTAAGTATGTGGTGAGAGGTTTGCTGTTTTTAAAACAGCTACTGCTACTGCTTTTTGTAAATCACCTTTTATAGAAATACAAATGAACTGGAGGGACTTCTTATGCCATCATTTGGATGTCAATGCATGGGATATTCAAAATTCTTCTCTCCATTGTTAGTATCTTCCAGACACAGCCCCCTCAGGCTCTGCTCATTATCACTGGGATGAATGCATACAGTGCTCCTGTCTCACCTTTTCACATTCACCTGTCACACAAGGGACAATTAACCCCTGTAGTTCTTCCTTGCAGACACAAAGAAGGCCTATCATCCTCTCCTGGGTCGCAGGGACCACAACATCATCCACCTACAAGCCCTTTGTACACAGACATCTACTGTACCACATGTGGAGAAGAGGTGGACGACTGAGAGACTGTATCAACACCGCACTGTGGGAGAATCTGTGTGAACGGGGAGGACTTATCTCCATAATAGAGTGTGTGACGGATTATATAAACTTCTGTTTTGGAACATAGGCCCACAGTCTCTGCTGTTCACACCTGCAGAAGCCCAGCAGCGCTGTGAGGATTCTGTTCTTTAATTTCCCCAGTGCTTTCAATACCATCGAGCCATGGCTTCAGAGGCACAAGCTGCAGCTGGCTGAGTGGATCCTGGATGACCTCGCCGACAGACTGACTCGCTTTTGTGTCTGAATCCTGACCTGCAGTGCCCTGATGACTTGACCTGCTCTGATGACTCTGCCATCAACATCATCATCAGACGACAACGCAAAGTACAGAGGCAGAACATTGTGGACTTGTGCCAGCGAAACCATC